GGGGAGTGGGAATTGGATGGGACAAGAGACGTGAGAAATGGAGACAAGACAGTATTCTGATCAAGTCTCATTTATTAACCAGAAGGTCACAGCTTACATAGACAGCAGGAGGGAATCAGCAGATAAGGAAGTGAGCAGCAGATGGTTTACTGAGAAAACCGCAGGGCGGGTTGTTCTGGTAAATGGAAAATTCCAGTTATCTATGGCAAGTTGCAAAGTTACCTACACCCATAGTGCACAGGAGAGGGGAGGGACAGAAGATAACAGCAAACAAGGCTCTGAGGCCTCAAGGCAATAGCTGGGCGGGCTCTTTGGCTCCGGACAGGCAGGCAGCTGGGCTCTATGGCTCCGGACAGTGCTGGAGTTGGGGTGCCCATATGTGTGCACCTCCCACCTCTTCCCAAAGCCAATCACAGCTTTAGCAAAAGTAAGATTAATCTTGAAATTACACCCTCTGCAGTTATTTGGTATCGACTGGTACGACTATACACATGTATTTCAATTCTGCCATTACTAGGGCATATTTGTCAAGGCAGAAGAATAGACTATAACAGTTTGTTGGCTTCCTTTACAACTTGTAAATATTTAAGCATATGGCATGGCCATCTACACTCTTCCTCAGGGACTCTGCAAATATTAGAGATGGCCTGCTCCCCATCTGTATAGCTTTATACCCTTAAAAAATAATTTTACTGTAAGTTTTTAGAAGTGTTTCATGAGAGAGCAAAATTAGACATGTTTGTCTAATCCATCGTCTTGAACCAAAAGGACCCCCTGCTTTGCCCTGCACTTGTGACCTTTCCATGGTACCTGACACTTCCACAGCTGCTGTGGCTTCTTTTCTCCTTTTGGTTCTTTCTGTTTTTGTCACTGTCAGCATCACTTCTGCTCACTGTAGTATGCACAAAGGAGATTCATGAGAAATATTTATTCCTGTGTTTTTGCACAAGAACATTTCTGCAGTTTTTCCTCCCATATATATTATTTTCCATATATATATATATTTCCCCCCCCCCCACCTTGGGTCAATTCAATTTTCTTTGAAATTTTTAAGGTCCTCTAATTTCTTTTCACTGTAACTTATCATCCTGCCTTATTCATCCTTGGGTTCCATGCAATGTTTAGCATAATTCCTTGCTCATAGTAAAAACCCAAATTATATTTGTTCGACTGCACTGCATTAAATTGTAAATTCTTAAAACCTGTGCCAAGGGACATTGTTTGTATGTCACTGACATAACTTGATTATTTAGGCATGCTCATACTTGCCCTCTGCCAAATGAGTGGTTAATTGTACTTACTGGCTGTCTCAGAATTGTGCAGGATAGTCTCAAAAGTACATAATAGAGCTGAAATTCTGCCTCTGCACAGACTTCTTGTGATTCCCGGGGGTAAGGACCATCTCATCAGATAATTTCTGAAGTTCTCGAAAATTACTGTTCTCAAAATACTTTCCTCTGAATGGGTCCCTTATGTGTTACTGTTAATAGAGCTGAAATTCTGCCTCTGCACAGACTTCTTGTGATTCCCGGGGGTAAGGACCATCCCATAAGATAATTTCTGAAGTTCTCGAAAATTACTGTTCTTAAAATACTTTCCTCTGAATGGGTCCCTTATGTGTTACTGTTGTGATGGAAGTGACATCAAGGCATCCCGTGTACCTTCAGCTGTGGGCTAGTGAGGACAGAGAAGAAGCTGGCACTGTGAGAGCTAGAGGAACGGACTCGGTTTCAGAGGTTAAGAAACCCCTAACAAAAGAGAGGAGAAGCTGCAGCCAGCAGCTAAGCTACAGCCCTCAGCAGGACATGATGGATCCAGGAATGCTTTCAACCAGCATTAATACTCAGAACTGTCAGACCTCTTAGGTCAATCATGGGAAGAAGATCCCAGAGAGCCTGACAATTGGTATTCAGAAAACCAGCACTGTAATGAATCTAGGCCATCTATTGTGTGACATCAACTACTCCAGTGAGCATTTGGGGACATGTGGATGTGTCTGTTCTCCCAGAAGAATAAAAATATCTAAGAAAATTATTCAGCTGGCCAAGAAAGTGCAAGATTCTGATCCCAGCAGGGAGACTGTGGGAGCTCATCATAAATGCAGGCTGACTTCTGCCTTCAACCACCTTTGCTGTGGTTTCTGGGCTGTCTGAAAGATCTCTATTCAAAAGACTCACTTCCTCACTAAGTACATGTGTTTTGACATCCCCCTCAATCTCAGTTGCTTAAAACAAAAGCAAAAGTCCCAACACCCTGCCTGTAAAAGTAAAGATGATGTATTAATTTGGGTCAAACAGGAGACATTTGCTGTAGGAATTTTCGGCATCAGCTGAAGCCAAATCTAGGTATGAATTAGCCAACTCAGCCTTTTAAACTAAGGGTGATCTTTCAACAGGATAAGGGAAAAACAGATCTCAGTACTCATTCAAGAAATTCCACTTAAAAAAAAGTGGGGGGCAGGGAGCTTACAGGTTTTATCCTACGGTTCCTGCAAAACCAAGAACTCCCAATCAAGATTTCCTCGACCACTGTCTTCTCTGGACATATATTGCAGAAGTTTCCCCAATTGCTAACTTTTTCTACTGCTGGGAGCTGGGAACATGTTCCCCAGGCTTTTTCTTACACCATCAAAAAAAAAAAAAGTGACTCGATCTGCAAGCAATTTAAAATACTGCATTGATAATGAGAAATCTGACTAGATCCGGAGAAAAAAATGAGATGAACAAAAGCTGGATTTTAGGGGTTGGGGTTGAAATTCAGACATTACAGACCAGAATGTGGGTGTTAGGAGCGTAGCTTCCAGAAAGGTTTAGAATGCCCTCTATGCAGTAGCTCCCTCTAGCTTTAGATTACTCAACATTATATTGGGCTTTGAGCCTTGGGTTTTATTGAAAGTCCATGGCAGAGTTGGAACAAGAACCCAGGATTTCTCACTTCTGAAACCCTGCGCATCTCTTTTCCCGCCTCTGCCAAGAGGAAGTATGACCCAAGCAACACTCTATTTTTGTGGGTTTTTATTTTTATTTTTATTGAATCAAAGCTGTATATATTTTGGGGGGTTCAACATTGAGATACGTTGATCAAATCAACATTACTAGCATATATATATTGTTATGAATAGTAATTATTTTTTATGCCCCTTGTCTAATCTCTCCCCCCTCTCCCCTCTAATTATCCTAGATTTCTTCTCTCCTTCTGAAAGAATAATGGTTACTCTGTTGATTTGTTGCCTAGATGATCTGTCCAATGCTGAGAGGTGTGTTCAGTTCCCCCAGTATTATCATACAGCAGATGCTTCTTCTGTCACTCAGGAATGGGCTTTGTGGAGACAGACATCCTCTTCTTTTCTTTGTGTCTGCTGGTGACTCTCCTGTGTCAATGCACTCCAGTGGCTGACGGACCATCTGCATGGTGGTTGTGGCATCTAGCCACTTTCACAGCAGCTATTGTTAATTGTGGTGGCTGTGGTGGACCACTCACATGGAGGTGATGTTTCTGGCATGCTCCTTTGTGCTGGCAGTGTGCCTGGGTGTGGGAGAGGGGTCCAGTCCTCTTCCCCATGCTTCGGGTCCCCAGACAGGCCCTGAGGCACTGGCACAGTTTGCCTGGTTGTGGGAGGGGGGTTCAGTCTCTGGATCCATGCCTCAGGTCCCTGGGTAGGACCCGAGGTGCTAGTGCCGTGCCTGTTTGTGGGAGGGGTGTCCAGTCCCCTCTCCATGCCTCGGGTCCCCAGGCAGGCCCTGAGACACTGGTGCTATGAGTGGTTGTGGACGGGGTTCCAGTCCCCAGCTCCACGCCTCATGTCCCCTGGTGGGCCTCAAGGCTCTGGTGGTGTGCCTGGGCCAGAACTAATTTTTTGTCCTTTGCTTACTTCTAAAATGGGGGAACTTCCTGTGGGGACCAGTACTTGAGCTGTGTGGTTGCACTAAATTGCTACTTTGCTGCTGTTTCCCTAGCAAGGGCTTTTTGTGCGGCTCAGGGTTTAATCATTGACCTTATAGTTACTTCCAGCTCGCCAGAGATTTGGTGCACCTGGGTTGTGTAGAAACTCTGATCTGGGCCTGAGTTTTTTCAACAAACTGCACTCCATGCAATTCTGCATTCCCGACCAGTCTCCTCTGAGTGGTCCTGCATTGATTGGGGGCATATCGGCTGTCCTTGCTGTGTCCCAGTGTTCTCCTGGTGGGCCTGTCTCTCCCACTGCCCATGCTCAAAATACTTCCCATGGGATGGGCCCTGCGCCGGTCCCTTGAGATGACTCACCAGCCTCTGAATGGCTCCCCTTTTTCAGCTGTTCTGGCTCCTCATTCCTGCGTGTGTCCACAGGAACCCTATTAGTGGTCTTGCTATCCTGGGGGCCACCAAGGCCCTCTTCTCCCCTGCCACCTCCAAGTAAATCCAACTGAAGGGCACAGCTGCAGCTTCTGCAGGTTCCTGCTCCATGAGCTCAGCGGCTCGAGCCTTAAAGCAGCCACAGCCTGAAACGCTTAGAGCAGTTTTTTCTTTCTATCATCGTGGTTTCTCCTGCCTTCATGAACTCTGTAGGTCTCTCCTCCTCTTCCCCTGAGCTCTAGCAGCCCCAGCTTGGCTGATGTTACATTTTTATAGATGTAAATTGGTTGATTTGTGACAGAGAGTGATGCTGGGGACTGCCTATTCCACCATCTTGACCAGAACTCGTGTTTTTTGTTTTTTGGGTTTTTTAAAATTTTTAATAGATGTCCATATGGGGCTGGCCCGGTGGCACACTGGAGAGTGCGCCGCTTGGGAGCACGGCAGCGCTCCCGTCGAGGGTTCAGATCCCATGTGGAGACCAGTTCCCGCTCACTGGCTGAGCGCGGTGCGGGTGCAACACCGAGGGTTGCGATCCCGTTGCCAGTCCCCGGTACGGGCGCAACACCGAGGGTTGTGATCCCATTACCAGTCAGTAAAAAAGAAAAAAAGGAAAAAAAAAAAATAGATGTCCATATGAATGAAGATTCTGTTTCTTTGTTTTATAGGCATTGGGATCAATGACATGTTTTTCATGATTTCTGCCTGGCAGAAGACCAGCCTCATGGATAGTATAAGACAGCAGATGTCCAGTGCCTATTCAAAGATGTCAGTGTCCATTACAATCACCACCATTACCAACATCCTGGCCTTCTATACAGGGATTATGAGCTCTTTCAGGTCTATACAATACTTTTACCTCTATATAAGAACAACCCTGCTCTTTTATTATTTTTACAACATCACCTGTTTTGGAGCATTTATAGCCTCTATAGTAAAATAGAAGTACTCTGCTTATGCTGATTGAGAAAGCCAGAGACTCCTGACCACATATGTCCCTCATTTTTAAAGTTCTGCTGTTTCCTTTTTGGTTCTGTCCCAGATGAACATGAAACTAACACCCATCTAATTGAGACAGGAGGTACTCAGTTTCCATGGGTTCAGGTTACAGGGCACACCTCTGAGTTTCAAGCCATTCCCCAAGGTTTCAGGCCCTTCCCCTAAGCACTCCCCTAGAGGAGAGTTACTGTTCCTTATTGGACCTATTTTGGGCATCAACTGGGGAGACTGAGACCACAAGGGGTGTACTTATGCAAATCCAGCAGCTGAGCATGCTCAGTAAAAGGAATTTATATGGGGCTTATTTTAAGGGCTTATGTGACCCCAGTGACCAAGCATCTCAGTGGAAGAGAGATAATCCTTTGAATGACCTTTCACTAGAGGTGCTAAAGAGCAGAGAATATTCCTGAATATGTCTGGTGCATGTGATAAGATTTGACCAATGAACATGCTCTGAAAAGAGACCACCCGAGCATGTGCAAGACTGTGTTACATAACTGGGAGCCACCCCCTTCACTGAGCATTCATTAGTTAGTGAAACTGTGGAAGCTGAATCCCAGCAGAAGGCATTGTTGCTCCCTTTCCTGAGGTCAACACATACCTCGCCAGCTTAGGTGTGTATGCTTTCCTTTTGTGTTAAACTTACTTTTAGCGGGTGGCTGCTCACTTTCTTGGGCCAGCCTGCACTCTGCACTAAACCTTAAGTGTGTATTTCTTACTTTTGTGTAAAACTTGGTGTGGCCCCTGCTCAGTCTCTGGAGCTAGGCCGCACTCTCTCTGTGGAACCTGTATCTCTTGTCTGGTATATTAAACCTGTTCTCACTTTCTACTGTGCCTGTGCTCTTGAATTCTTTCCTGCTAAGAAAGTGGGGTGGGTTGAGGCCTGCTATCCAGCCTCCCCAGACCCTACCTCTGACATCACAATGAATTTGTTTCTTTAGAGACTATTTTGGGCCTTTTCTCATGAGCACTGAGTCCAAGCTTTTTGTAGTGCTGATGTACACTTTGTACATAGTAAGCAGTATCTATGGGTATTTCCAAGTGCAGAAAGGTTTAGACCTTTGAAGTCTGACAAGTGACGATTCCTACATCAGACCACATTTTCACACAGAGGATTATTTTTCATATTGTGGTCCCAGGGTTATGGTTATCGTTACTAAAACTGTTGACTGCTGGCATGAAGATGTTAGGCAAAAACAGGAAAAATATATGGTAAATCTTGAAGAAAATGACTATGTAGTTAAAAATCTCACAGTTTTGGTTAACAGCATATGTGCAAAATATGAAAGATAATAGACAAGATCCTCATGATAAGAATAATTTTAGAAGTAGTATTTCTGGGTTTTTTAATATTTTTCCAATTTTTACTCATGATGTTAATATTTCATCATCAAATGAAATTGTTTCTTCCCAGAGCTTCATCCAGACTATTGGTGTTCTGTCAACCAATAAGAAGATGATCATGTTACTCCAATTACAAGGCATAGCTGAAGGGTGTGAAGTCCCCTAATGGTGCATAACCAGGCATTTGTATATTTTGATCAGTATGCTGCAATTTTCAAGCAACATCTTAGCATCTACAAAACAAAGGTCTGTCAAAGAACATCTCCAATAAGTCCTGGGGGACCTTAGCAGTGCCTTACTATTCTTTGGAAAATATTCTCTTGAGATATTTAACATGGAGCTGCCAGCAAACAATCAAAAATGGGGCCAATAAGTCCTGGGGGACCTTAGCAGTGCCTTACTATTCTTTGGAAAATATTCTCTTGAGACATTTAACATGGAGCTGCCAGCAAACAATCGAAAATGGGCTTCAGGCTGAGATATATGGTTAAGTAGAGCAGTTTGTGGGACCCAACCAGAACAATTAGCATAAATTATTGCTAATCTGTCATTCGTGAAGGAAGCTGTTTAGGCTTCCGTAGTTCCTGTTTGGACTTAATCATAAATCTGCTGAAGTGAACTCTGTGAAGAAAGAAAATGATCTTGGAGCCAACGAAACAAAACCTTGCCTGCTTTTGATTCTTGGTACGAATATAGATAATAAAAGAGAGCTTCTAGATTCTTCTTGGGAGTTTTAAGTGGAAGGTGCCAGAAAAGTTCCCCAAGGCATAATTGCCCTATGGCTGTCCATCTTCCTACCAGCTCAATTTGATCCCTTTGATTCTTTAAGAGGAGTCCTTCCTGTGGAGAAATCAGGCTCAGCAAGCATTTGATCAGTCACCGCAATGGAGAGAAAGGGAGCTACATGGGTCCGTGGAGAAGGGATGAAAACTACCTTGGAAAAAATACAGCCAAAGCCCAAAGCGCCTTCTCCTGGATTTGGAGAGAACAAAATAGTGTGGAATGGGTCTTCTCCACGATACTCTTGCCTTGGAAAGCATTATGCCTCTGCTCGCTCAACTACCTTGGAAAAAATACAGCCAAAGCCCAAAGCGCCTTCTCCTGGATTTGGAGAGAACAAGATAGTGTAGAATGGGTCTTCTCCACGATACTCTTGCCTTGGAAAGCATTATGCCTCTGCTCGCTCGGGTGAATTCTTGCCTACGCTTAACTATCCAGAGTGGAGATAGACATTTTGTGCCTGAAACCACCACCCACTTGGTAGATCTTCAAAATAAAGCTAATATAGCTAATAGAAGCAAGCAGGCTGCGTTAGTACATTTGGAGTGCAGAGTTTTCTCAGGTTTGTACAGGATTTAGGCAGGTATAATACAATCCGGAAATGGTTTTGTTTCCTCCCACCAATGCCTGGGATAGATTCCATCACATGTGAATCAATTTTAGCCACCAAAAAAATAGCTCCATCTTCAGAAATTAAAAATTCTAGTCCAGACCATCCTAAATCAAATCTTTAACCTTGCATCCAATTAAAATTATTTTGTCCACCCATCTCCATCTTGATTTCGGGTTTAGGAATCAGCATCTGGGGAGGAGTGGTCTGTTTCTCCCTCTTTCCTCACTCCACCCAAAGCCCGCCTCTGGGTTCTCCAGGTAAAAGAGGGATGAGAGGAAAAAGATTAAAGGAATTTTTACTCAGTTGGTGCTATTTGCAGTGCTCTCTTGGCTCTTGAGGAGCCTCTGTCTTATAAATACTGGCTTTATTTTGTGAGGGACAGTTATGGGTATCTTGAAGACCACTCGGGGTACCTCCTGTGGCACCATCTCTTAACCCAAGCAATGCTTCCCTCTGACTGAGCTCTTGTGACCCCAACCCCACCGACTCCTGCCCTTGCAGTGTAACTCTGGGGATCTGTTACCCCAGCAGATAGTCAGTCTTTCAAGACAACTTGACCCTGAATCCATTCACATACATGCCTGATGCCTTGGGGGTACATTCTTGTCCCTCCAAACAATGCAAGTGCAGCTAGCTCAGCCACTGCCTCTGCTCTTCTTGCCCTGCTACTGCGAGCTGTCCCTGCCCACCTCCCACCTTTACACTTCTCCAGGGTACACCTGTCAACCTTTCTAGTGAACTCTGCTCTTACAGCAGCCCACGGCAAGCTAATAAGTTTCTCAACCCCAGAAGACATTCAGCTAGGGAATGTGACATGTTCTCCCCTTCAAGCAGACAACCCCAAAGTCTATGAGAAGCCATCGTGGCTGTATTCCATCCTCTTTGTTTGGCTAACGAATGAGAACAAAAGTGAAGCAACAACCTGTCCTTGGCTCTTTTCTCCTCCCTAAAGGGTAGACCCACAACTGGCTTTTGTTTTGGGGGGAAACGACTACAAATTTCCTTTCAAAATAATTTACCCAATGAACTCCAATCTTCCAATTTATAAGATAGACTTGGATTATGGGTTCGAGTATTCCAAAAACAAGTCTAGTTCCTCCCGGAAAGTTCTGAATAAGTGTTGAGTTAATTTTTGCCCATTGCCCTCAGCTTTAAGGCTTTAGCTGAAGTCACAGTAAGGAGAGAATAGTCACTTTCCATATGCCATTGCACAGATTCTGCCTCTTTGTGAATGAGGTTCACCCTGACCAGGGTAGAAAAATCACAAAATGACGTGATGGAGTCCTCAGAATGGTCTCCACTTGATAATTCAACAGTGATCTCCCCATCTCTACTGAACTTTTCTTTGGCTAATGCCAAGGTGTCCTTAGTTCTGACTCTGTGCTCAGAGTGATGTGTCTAGCCCCAGCCCTATGTATTCTGACCTCTCTATAGGAGGTTGTGTTTCCTTTCCCCAAAGGAATACCAACCATTTTTCCGGGGACTTTCAGACCAATTGGGTGGGTCTTCAAGGCTTTACTTCCATAAGGCACTGGAGCATTACATTATGAAAATTGGCCACATACATACTAGAAATTGAAAATCCGTAACCAGTAGCATACATCGGCTCATTAAACACAAAATGTTTCTTCTAATCCCAGAAAGCATCATCAGAAGCAGTCAATTTAGGCATACCAAAAGATAACCCATTCACATCTTTTAAAAATGCTCTTCCTTTCCCAGTTCCATCTATCCTAAGATAGGCAGAGCCCATGTTCAAAATATTTAATAACTGGTGTATGGTACGGGCACCAACCAACCAGAACGGATACCAACAGTGAACAATCAGCAGGGAAGGGCTGGTGCACACCCATCAAATATGAACCCCAAAGAAAGGAGGAAGGAACTTAGGCCTGTGTTTAAGGCCAGAGGCTTCTTCAAGTGTCCCATGAAGGTCTACAGTTACAGCTAACTTGACCGAGCATATTATTCACGGAGGTGAAATCTTGACTCTGTAGGAAGAAAAAGCATCATGCTTATATTTTTAGATTTCTAATTTTTTTTCCTTTGGTTTTCATGTGGGTTTTTTGTTTGGATTTTTTGGGGGGGAGTGGCATTTAGGTAACATCACTCATAAATATGCATCTCCACATAGAAATTTCCATTTCTAAGCAACTTTCCTTCCAAAGGACAAACCCTTTCCACATTGCCATCCTACCATGAAGCTACTAGAAAGTTCCAAGGGAACCAACCTCTCTGAATCGGGGCTTCTCCTACATTCAGCAGGTCAAGAAGAACTACACTAGCCCTCACAAGCTATCCTCTTTACCACCCCCAGGGGATGGTGCCAGCTGTTTTATTCCCCTCCAAGTGTGATAGTCCAATTGGCATCCAAGGAAGAATCTCCCATCAAATAAAGATCAGAAATACAAATTCTATTTTAGTGGGCAAAGGCTTTGCATTTAAGTAGTCATGATTAAGACACCAGACATTTCCTGGAAATAAAAGCCCACCCGGAGGTGTTTGGGAGCCCAAAGTATCATCAACACCAGCTGGCGATTAATCTCCAGGGAAAGCACTTCTTCATGTATCTCTGTGACAGGCTAAATATACCCTAAATGCAATTTAAATATAGACATGCTATCTATGCCTCACATTCCTTGAGGCTGCCAGCCTAAGACCAGGATCAGCTCCGCGGTGCTTGGCATGACAAGGCGGCCATGGAGGCAGGGTACTGCTGCACATTTAAAAAACATGAATTTCCCTTCCCTCCTTACCCCCCAAATCCATGGGTTTCTTGAATACTTTTTACCAGAGAATTGGTATAGCAAAGTATATATAAATCAAGGCACTGATGTTAATTGTAAAACTTCAGTTATAAACTTCTCTGTTTCTGCCATAACATTTTATCACTTTGGAAGCTTTGGACTGAAATATATACTTGTATATACGTATACATTTAGTCAAAGTAACCAAATAACCCAAAAGACCAGGGACTGCCGATGGAGAGAAATGAATCGTAAGAACTGCACAGTGAAATGGCCTTGTTCATTTAATTTAGTATTTCATAGTCATCTCTGGGGTATAATAGAAACAACCTGGTCTGAGAGGGGAGCTATTGAGTCAATTAAAGAATAAGAATAATGAAACAATCATATGACAAGAGAATTGGGCATGGTTTTGATTTTTTGGAAAACACATAAGCATGTCATCTGAGGCTGAAGAAGGACATGGCCACACATGGCAAGAAACAAGAATGAAGCCAACCACCACCGAAGTCTGGCAACAGGAAAAGGAATGCCATTCCACACCTGTTTTGTTTGGACCGGTGGGTCAAATTTTATACAGACTTCAAGAACCTGATGCGGCTCCTAACAAGCTGTTTGTGACTCTATGCTTAGAAAATGTATCCAAGGTTTTATAATGCTCTGGCCCTGAGTTCCAAGCATCACACAAAACACAGTTATTATTCTTAAAATTCTCTTTTCCTCCTAAGTTGCTTATGTAGGCTAGGTAACAATATTTTGCTCTGAAGAGTTATATTTTCCTCTGGCGGAAGTTTGACTTTGGCTTTGAGATATGCCATTGATGAAGCTATAACCAGGAGCACAGATTGGATCAGAGACAGGTTTGGCCAAGCTGGGGTCCAGGATCAAGTGTCTTGGAGGAGCATGGATATAGAGGCAGATTAAAGAGCAGTCAGGGTATGAAACAAGAATTCAAAGCCTTAATACTCTTAAGGCGAAGCTCTGGGGTCATCTTGTCAGGCCAGGGCCAGAATGCAAGATACACAAAGAACAGGTAGAAATGGACTGCCTGAGTGGGGCAGCGTAGGAGGAATCAAGACAGAGGGGCAGACACTTGTGGGACCAAAGATAGGCCAGTGGCTCGTAGGAGGCGTCCTGAGTAGAGAGAG